TAATAATAATAATAATAATAATAATAATAATAATAATAATAACCTGCCAGTTTGCCAAATCAAATAGCTTAATAAGCACTTTTTTTAGAGCACACTGTGAGTTTACCTCATTGGGTCTTGCCATCAGACCACAGAAAATAATAAGAGTGTGTATTGAAACACAGTTGACACTGTCCTGTAAGTATCTGAAAGAGATGTCTGGGAGCTGATGGTGAGATTTTCAGCCAGGGAAGTTTGTCCATCATTGTTTATTGTCTCACTGAGGAGATCTTGGCAAGGTCAGCCATCCTGCCATTAGGCCAAGTGAAGCAGCTGCCCAAAGTGACAGATGATGGGGGTGGCATTATGGCAGCAATGACAACCCTCCTTCTTGCTATTGCAAGATAGAGCTATATATGCTGCACAACCTGTCCTGAATCCCCTACGCTAGCACCTTTCTTCTGTTACAGAGGTGCAACAATACATTTTGAAGTGCAGGCTTTCACCTCTTTAGCAACACCCTCCCACCTACTCCTACTAGTAAGAGTACGTTAAATAAATATCATGCAGATGGCTGTATTGACATAAAGCAATTTCTAAAAATGTTCATTTTTTGCCAAGAGCAGGTCTTTTGTAAACTTGCTAACTCAAGGCCAAGCCACCCCCAAAATACCTTAGACTGCAACAAGGATAGATGATAATAAATCGTTGTTGGGGAAAATTCATTTTTACTCCAGCTGCCATGGGGAATAGGGGAGTTTAAAGGCTGGTGGTAGTCAATGATGTTATAGTGCACATTAAATTGAGGCACTGCCCTGGCTCAGTGTTAGGGAATCATGGGAACTGTAATTGATTGTGGCACCAGAGCTCTCTGACAGAGAAGGCTCAATGTCTCAGAAAAAATTACAATTCCCATGATTCCCTAGCACTAAGCCAGGGCAGTGCCTCAATTTAATGTGCACTATTTCTGGCAGTCTGCTTAGGCCCATTGTCTCTTTGAAAAATTCACTGGGCTTTGACTCTGTGAGCCCTAACTCCACTACCCCACTGCCCAGTTGTGTTAGAGAAAACAGTCCTATTGTCAATCTTGAGGTAAAGACTCAACCACCACTCTAGCTGGCTTCTGTGATTGCAATGGGAGAGATGTGTATGGAAAGGGAGAGCACCATCTTGTCCTGCACCTCACCTTCACCACTTGCCCTTCATCTTGGGCCACCTGTTCGGCTGTCAAGCATCAAGAAACATCCCAGCATTCCCTAGAGCATAGGTCCTCAAAACCACTGTCAAAAGCGATTAGCTTTTGAAATGTATAAAAAAAATGTATTTAAAAATACACCATTTGGGATATGTTAGGAAACTGTCGTTACCATGTTGGAGCACTGGTGCATTTAGCTCAGTATTGTCATCACTCATTTGACAGAAGGTTTCCAGAATTTCAGACAGGAGAATTTCTCAGTCTTACTTGAAGATAGCAGGGACCTATGCCAGGCAAAGTGTGCCTTGTGCCCCTCAGCTATGGCCTTTCACATTCTGTTTTGGTGCCGAGGATGTTATTGAGGGAGGAAGGAGTGCCACCCAAGTTATCAAAGAAAAGGTTTGACAGCTTGCACCTGAGTGGAAGTTTGTCTTTTATACCCCAAGGAGGTCCTGATCCTTAGTTCCTATGCCCTCTTGACTAAATTGCTGCTATTGCCTATACAGTGTCTCCTACATCTGTCTGGGTATATGTTTACATTTCTACTGTGAGGCTTGGTCTGCCTTTCTGACATGTTTAAAGTTGTGCCTGATGGTTTCCACATCAAAGAAGAGAGTACATTTGATACGGATTTTAGAATGAACTCTCTAAGGCTGCATCCATACTGCAGAAATAATCCAGTTTGACACCATTTTAGCTGCTATGGCTCCATGCTATGGGATTCTGGGAAGTTTTGTGAGATATTTAGCCAGAGAGCTCTGGTGCCACAACAAACTAAAATTCCCAGAATTCCATAGCATGGAGCCATGGCAGCTAAAGTGGTATCAACCTGGATTATTTCTGCAGTACAGATGCAGCCTAAGGGGCTGAACCTATCCTGCACCTTGGATGGTTACGTTAAAATATGAAACATTAGGCTAGGAGGAGAGAATGCTGACATAAACTGCAAGAGATTTTTCCACTTACAATGCAGATTTCGTGTGCTGTTTCCTTTTTCCTTCCTCATCCCAAGTTCACACACTGATACTTTAGAGGACTGATTGTGAACTGTGTGGTTTTCTGTTTCATGACTGGCCTGGAAGCATACTGGGCTGGGACCCTTTCACGTTACACAATTATAGTGCTATGATTCCATTTTAACCACTATTGTTCCACCTTCAGGAACTGTGGGATTTGCAATAGGAATATTTAGAATTTTCAGCCAGAGAGCTCCAGTGCCCCACCAAACTACAAACTCCAGAACTCAGTAGGAAGTTGCCATGGCAGTGGGATCATAATGCTATAACGTAGTAGTGTGTAAAGGCCCTGGAGTGGACAGAGTACTGGCAAGGAGGCTATGTTACAGAATTGCATCTGTCTCTCCAGTTTTTCTGTCTCACCTGTCCTATTGAGGCAGGAACCAAGGTAAGGCAGCTGAGTCAAATTTGATGCATGGAGAGAAATCAAGTTCTCCTGAACCAACCAAAATGAACAGGAGC